TCAATATATGAAACGTGATCGTTTTACCGATTTAGCATCACCAAGCCAGGCTCCCTGTGCATTAGATAAGAAAATGCAAGGGAAAACAGCAATGATTTAACTGTATACCACAGTTAACCAAAAACCTTAAAAGTGTGATGCCTGGTTCCAGCAAACATTCCTATCCACTTCATCTACCTCTCCCACAAACAAATATATACATAGGTGGGATTAAAACAGGGTGAAAGATTGTATAATCTGAGCAATTCACTAGCTTATGACAAGATATTGAAGCAAAACAGGGAGCACAAAGCACTTAGAAAATACACATTGACATTGTTCAGTGTAGTCCACTTTATTTTTCATATTTTCTCTGTGCAGTCACAAGCTCTAAGTAACTGGCAGAGGACAACCTCTTTCATTGAATTACATGGGAATAAGAGAGTCTGAGAGAAACTTCTCTTCATTAGAGGCATGCAAGTGTTTTCTGGAATGATTCAATACTCACCTCACAGAGTGGTAGCAGAATTCCCTTGAAGAAGGCAGCAGGCTTGAAGAGGGCCTTTTTAAGGGACTAAAAAAACAAGCATTGAATATCAGATTTATTATTATTTTTCTTGGATCCTAGCCTTAGATTCAAAATAAAATGATCTTTTTAATTCTCATAGTATGATACTGTCAGTTTGGATCAGATAAGAGACTATCAGCATGTATGTTAAGCTATTATATAGCTAACTATGTCCGCCCGTCTCTTATTGTCATCATTATCCATTTGAATTACTAAGTGTATAAACTCCTTATGTGCATACTGACTTCTGTACACAATAAACATGAATTTTTCAGGATTGCTTGCTCACAAAATCCTAGTTACTGCTATTTCATAAACATGCAAATTCTGTAGCTTTAATTTGCCTGTTGGAATTTGGTTCTTCATGAAATTTCCATAAATTATTTTCACAAAAATTATTATTAATTTTTGGTTATTTGGGCAAGGGGTGGGGATTGGTGGGGATTTGATAGGAAACATTTGCAACTGGGAACAACAGTGAAATTTCATGGGTTTCTCAACTAGTTCAACTAGTTTATAAATTAGTATAATCTGTTGAGATTTTGATCAATATTTGGCCTCGAAACAGAAGTCTTTTCTATTTTTGATAGTCAGATATGGGCCAGATATGCATGAAAAGCTTAATATATAATATCAGTTTTGCCTGGATCATACCATGTAGAGGTGGTAGTTTAGTCTTTTGTATTCTGCAATATCATCTCTTACTCTTGGATAAAGGACTAAATTGAAAAACCTAAAAGAGAATGACATAAAAACTTGATGTCAATAGAGCAGCCGCAATCTTGGTCGATGATAACAAAGCATTCCTCATAAGCTACTCTTGTTAGATCAACCAACATGGCGGCTGTTTCACTGTTATTTATATCTCAAGGGATTTAAGTCACATGGTTGCACACACTGTATATAGAAAAAAATAAATTAGAAACCTACATGTTGTATACTGAAGTATGATAAGAATTGAACTAATCTGGAAAATAATTTTCTTCTGGTTATATGATGATATCATGATTTCATGTTTCTTCTACTGTACTAAAAAGTACAAAGTATTCAACAAATAAAGTTAACATCTTTTTTTCGTAAAGTTGGCAGCCCGCTTGGTTGGCATTAGCAACCATACACTGTATCACAACCAATCACAGTGTTTGTACTACTTAAGCTATATTTTGATAACACAATATTGATGGATGGAATTAGAGGAAGTAAATATCTAGGTCGCAGATACATAAAAAATGTGTTTACTAGATGTTGTGTAATGATGATGATGAATATGATTATGATCACTTCACTTACACGAGGGATAAGATGTGTTAACTTACAATAGCTATCTAATGTACGGCCCTCATAATGCTAGCTGTTAATAATGCTAGCTGTTTAACAGTATTTTATCACCTTTGAGCCATTTTTGCATTCAAGTTGGAGACAAATATCCTTGTTGCCTGGTAGACTGCTGCAGCTGACCACTGATCTGGTTCAGTTATGAACATTACCTGGCAGAAATAAGGTCACAGGAGCAATCAGTCAATCAAGTCAACATTGCTAGTAAGTTTTGTTCTCACTAGCAAAAGGTTCTAAACTTTTCAGTCCTTCCATTTTTGGACTGTGGTCATTCTAGCTAAACTTAACTGTCAAATTTTTCTTACTCAGTAAATACAAAACTTCACTAGAATTTAGCATGTTTGCAAGTGTCAATTGCATACCCTGAGGATAAGAAAGTAATGAAGCATCTAATCAAAAACATAGCAGTATGTTATCCAAAAAATTACCTCTTCCCAGTTTGTGAGGGAGGGAATGAACTTGAAGGCTTTTGGCAGCTTTCCTGATCTATACTTTTTAAGGATTTCACCAACACTGCAATAAAAGAAACCAAAGGTCAAAAGAGCACGCTTTTTTCTGCATTTGCTAAGATGTTTGATTCATACTACATCTTGTAACAAGATTTGGTTTCCAAACATTGTATAGTAAGAGGTAGAATATGTGCTTACCCTTTAAAAACTTTGACCAATCTTTCATCCATCGGTGGAGCTGATGTTCTTTCTGTGAAGGCATTTTTACCAAGTTAAGATAGTTGACAATAACCAGTGCACAGCTAATGTACGCCATATAAATAATAACCAGAGTACATCTAATGCATGCCATCAATCATCTCTTTTTCATTGGTTATATGATATTTCAAATATTTTTGCATGAGCAAAACAGTATGTCTGTGACCCTCTCATAAACATGTTAGCTCACCATGAATCAGAATGCATGTTCTGTTTTATATCTTTTATAGTCATACTTTAAGAGCATGGGTGTACCTTCAGGGTATTAATAAAATTAATGTACTTTAAATAATAGTATCTTTGTGCTTTCAACCTGGAGCCTTTGAAACTAATGAATCTCCTATTCTCATAAAAATATTTTGATATCTTATTCTATTTTTTTTTAAATAGGAGCTTTTGGCTTCCAACCTTCGAAGAAGCTCCTACTATTATACATGTACATGTAACGATAAAAAATATTAACCAGAGAATGTCTACAGCATGTAGTTGATATACACCTATTTCGAAAATCATTGTCGCACCAAGAGCCTCAAGTAACAAGCCAAGGCTCCAGAGAACGTCGGTACTTATACTTATAATTCATTTATTCTTGGTTCATGCAAGTGGCTATATCTCTCCACTTTATTATCATCTCAAGCAGCCTTGCTTGGAGCAATTTGTGAAGTCAATAAGTGAAAATGCACCATAAATAAACTAATTACAGCTAAAAGTACCAGCGTTCTCTGCAGTCTTGGCTTGTTGCTTGAGGCTTTTGGTGCGACAACGATTTCTGAAATAGGTGTATATAAGAAATATCAGTAAATAAATGTTGTTCTTTTACCAGACATGTGGCTTTCAATTTCTGTCTTTTTGTCCTGTATTTTTTCCATGATCACATCAGCTAATGTTCTTCTTGTTGGTGCTTCTTTGGACATAAATTTTTCAAAAGCCTTTTCTTCATCTTCATCAACTTCCTAAAACGAAACATGAAAAATTTAATTTGTGATTACATAGAAAGTTTCAATCCTAACATGTTCTTGTAGAGATGAGAATATGTGGACCGCATGGCACTAATGAAATACATGAAGATATAGAAATATAGATAAGTTATAGTGCTTGGGAACGAGGTTATTCTGGGCGAAAGCCCTTGGAATTAAATTCGGAAAAATTAATTTCCAACCTCGCTGGGAATCAAACCCACGACCTTCGGAATTGTACTACCAATGCTCTACCAGCTGAGCTAGAGGTCAGACTGAGAGCAGGCCGGGGTGAAATAGATGTTGGGTAGCGATAATTATGATGCAAAGATGAGAATATGTGGACCGCATGGCACATGTTCTTGTAGGTTGATGTCAGGATGTAAATTTTTGTCTGCTTTCTTAACCTTAAACAATTTAGATCCTAGCCATTAACTTACTAGGCCAGCTTTTATTATCCCTGATGAGGGACTAGTTAGTCTGGCAGCTACTGTACATGTAGCATCTTTAATAAACCGTTTGAAGTTGAAATAAAGTTTATCTTTAGTTATTCATTAATAATTGAATTTTAATCCAATTTTCTTACCACATGCTCATAGTAAGCTTCACTTGTTTCTGAATATTTATCCTCATCATCTTCTGAATCATCATCATCATCATGATCCAGCCTATCTGCACCTCCAAGACTTGTCTGTGCAGTTTTTAACGACGTCTTTCTTGGTCCGTACCCGAATTCTTCTACCAGCTCATCCTGTTGTTTCCTTGCTTGCTCTAAGATCTTTTTCGAAAGCTTTTCCTCCACATACTGTAATTAATAACTCTATCAGAACTCTTATGATACTAAATACGATATTGATATGCAAAAGGATGGAGTTGGAAGATAAGAAAAGGAGTTTTTCTGCGACTTTATTACAGTATACTTTACAATACAGTTTGAAACCTTAATGTGAAGTCGTAGAAAAACATCTCCTACAACAGTATACATGTTGAGAGACGAGGGATCAACGCTTAAAAATGAATTCTGTACAATGAAATGAGAGTTTAATTCAACGACAATAGGTTAAGACCGAGTGAATCAAATACAAAACCACTCTATCTCCATGTTGAAATAGCACATGTAAACTATTTTCAATGGCCGCTCACCGTTTCATCTTTTTCTGCTTGTCTTTCTCTGCGTTGCTTTGTTCTCCGTGAAGTTTTTACTGTTTTATCGTCAATAATATCCTCTGCTAATCCACCTTTGTGTCTTCTCTCTTTCTTATCTTTCCCCATTTTCAGTAAAAACAGTGATTTTTTCAATCAATCCATAAAGAACCTCTACTAGCTTGGTTTCGACACACGTGAAGTACAGTTACAATCAGGCATTCCTCGATCAACTTACTCGTCCCCTTGACTCGTCCCAGGCATCGTGGTAAACCACAGGAAACCCAACGAAGGTAACTATACTAATAAGCCTTTTCATAGTTTAAGAATCGATTCCACTGCGCATGCGATTTTATCCCGAATTTCTCACCTTCTTTTGTTTAATTAAGAACAAAAGAAGGTTTAGACAAAAGAAGGTAGAAATTCGGGATAAAATCGCATGCGCAGTGGAATCGATTCTTAAACTGTGAAAAGGCTTATTGAGCTGATCTGCGCAGGTAACTATCCTATCTCTCATCACATGGATGTGGGACACAGACCTGGCGGAAAATAGGGAAGCAAATATTTGTTTTAATAATTAGTAGCTCTCTAGGGAAAGCATCGATTGGTAGAAGCAGGTGAAAGAAAAGTGTAAAAATTGGCTGTTGAACCTCACACCTCCCTGCAGATAATACGTACCGTAGTTCAAGAGGCTTATTCCCCCCCAACTACATGTGAAAGTCAGGTCCGGTGATTCCAAGTCTGTCTCCAAAAAGACTTGAAGGTATTTTGTAGATATAAAAGTACCTTGTGCTCAAATGGTCTATCAAGACCCCGTGTGTTGATCCTGTCTTGGCTTAAACCCATGACCACTTGCGCGCAACAATTGGACGGAGTAATGGACCACTTCAAAGATATATCGTCCATCTTGCCAGGGGGGCAAAACAAGACAAAGATGACGGAAAATACGTAGAGTTTTGGGTGTCTGTCTTTCTTTTATGGGCAAAGGCGATCGATGTGCCGTCTTTTTTCGCCTTCTGTGGCATACTACTCTTCCCAGTAGACCGATGTAGTTGCGATTTTTTAATCGCCTTCGTAGCGTCTGTTATGTTATCCAGAAATACATTACAAATCGACCACGTGATGCCAATGTTGTACCACGAGGACAAGCTTTTGACACCACGTGATCAAAATTCAGTCAAGTTTTAATCACGTGCTGTAAAAAACTTGTCCTCGTGGTACAACATTGGCATCACGTGGTCGATTTGAAATGTACTTGCCGATAACATAACAGACGCTACGAAGGCGATTAAAAAATCACAACTACCTCGGTCTACTGGGAAGAGTAGTAAACAGCTCACCCCCAGAATATCGATCGACGTCATTACTGTAACAAAGTCTTATTTGCCCCCCTGGGTGCCCCACAATGCCTTGCGATCCAAGATGGCAGCCGTATCGTCGAAGTAGTCCATTAGGAGAAGGAGCGAGGAATGGTCGCGGCATAGCAGCTTTTGATGGACGTCAATCGAAGTGTTCGCACGACATTCTATAGGCATGCGCCCTTGAAAAAAAATATACTGACAAATTTTGCGCGCGTAATTATAAAGCACTGCAAAATACTACTGAATAGCAAGATGAGGGCATAAATAAAGGCGTAATACCTTGATTATGCGCAGGGTCGATCATTAAAACACAATATGTGTAACTAAAGTGTATTTTTATTTTAACTTGAAAAAATAGTTATAAACTTCAATTGTACTTTTATTGGTCATGAGCAGTAGTGTTTAGCAACTATAGACCCTTTCATCAACACACACGTACATTGCTTCACTTTAGAAGGGGGTTGGTTTAATCTTTCCTCTCTATAATTAAGCCATTATAAATATGAGGTGTAAAAGTCTGGTCCTGATACAAAAATTTTGTATGAATGTGACGGCGGGATCAATTTGAAGTGATTTCGCCCGCGCTGTGATCGGTCCAAAGACTGTTGTCAATCCGTACCATAGCCGTGCCCTTTCACAATCATACGAAATCTACTCTAACGACAAAGTACCGTTCCTGTTTCCTTTGCAGCAGTTTTACGTAAATCAAACAAAATCAGCTTAACTATTTGCATAATCTACGTTTCTTGCACCATTGGTAATAGAACTATCTCTTTTTCTCTCTACGAAGCGTGATTGACAAATGATCAACCAGCATTTGCCAGCCCCAGCTACTGCGCATGACCAACAAATGACATCACTTTCTTTATGCCATATAAGGACATGTTTGCGCCTCTATTAGCAAAATACCATTACGAATTTACTGCAATAAAGAAAGCTGGAAAGATTATTTACCTGGGGAAAAACGGTACATTCTAAGCGCGCGCCGTTCAAAAAGAGCAAATTCACTAACAAAACTACATATAATAAAGACGCCTCATCTAGAAAATCTAGTTTCTACATAAAAAAGTATAAAATTTATGACATTAAATTATAAAAATGGGGGAAATTCTTTTTATAGCCTTTTCAATTTTTGGTTAATTTTCATGTCCCTTCTTTTTTCGTGCTTTTAAAAATTAAATTCAATTAACTTTTTTTAAATGTAACTACGAAGCCACCCCATGATGATAGTTGATGCTTCGTAACTGTCTTCAATCCATGGGGGTTGCTCTAAAAATGCGCCTTATCTCACTGCTTAGAGCACCAAGACTAATTCGTATCGAGCCTGACCATTATCAAACTCTATCATACATGACCAATAAAAGCTTATTATTAATAACCATTAAATTATAAATCTATACGTTGAGCAGCAAAGACGTGTTTTAGTTGATCTTTACCGACGAGTTTTTCTTTGGTTTCTCGGATTATTTTCCACGCTTTTTTCCTGCCTTCATCGTCATGTTTTGTCCTGAGGGTAAACCACAGGGCAACGGCACATCTACGGCCGTTCTGAACTCCAAGGACTCCGTGTAGGTTCTCTACTCCCGCTGAGAAGCCTACTAGACGACCACACTTTGGTTTAACAGACGCCTGGATGTGAGAGCAATGAGGTTTTGAAATCTAGTGCCGGTTAAGGCGTGACCTATAAGGATGGATCCAGGAAACACCGATTTCGGCGGAAAGAGGCAAGGGGAGGGGGGGAGGATTTCAGAGACACTTTAAAAAGACGGTGGAAGGGAGCGGTTGGGGACACTCACACCTCCCCTAGATCCCCCGTAACCCAGGGACAGATATAGAAAACACCGATGGGGGTGGCCTTTTTGCGAGGGCGTGGGACGGAAGGGGAGTATCTCGTCTGATAACCACTATTTTCGCCGCTATGCGCTGAACAGAGAACATTCGCGACATGGAAATCAGGCAATAGACTAGCGTCAATCAAATACATTGTTTTGACCTCACTGACTCATGTATATGTATTCCAACGATTTATTTAAAGATTGACCTTAGTTTATTGACCGACTTCACTGTAATAAGAACAAACCTGGATAGTTTCATTTGGATGGGCAAATATGAAATCTCCTCCTTCGAAGTTATCATTCAAGTACAATATGGCACTGAAAAGTGAGTAAAAACACAGGAAAAAAGCCAATGAATGAGTTATCACTACTGCTTTGTTTAGTTCCTTCATTTCTTTATCTTGTTTTTCATCTTTCTGCAAACTCCATAACATTTTCTTTCTCTCTCAGGCTACGCCCTCCGCCGGCTGAATTCAATATATCTAACATTACATTGCTGCCGACCTCAGTAACTATCTAATACATAGTAGAGTTTTTAATCTCTCTTCAAGAGTTTTTCTTCGGGTTCTCCGGTTTTTCCTCCCTCCACAAAAATCAACTTCTAAAGCGTATTAAATCCGTTGGTTGCATTATCAAGAGGTTCGTAAAACCTTTAAGAGTGACTGTCTGTAACCATCGAGCAAAACGTGGCAAACTTC